GTGAATACATATCATGTAGTGCTCCTTCTCTGGTCTATCTCACCAGCATAGTCTGCATCAACAAAACCCTGCAGAACTAACTTGCCTCTTCTGAAGCATAAACAATCTTCTATTGTACCTCGTAGGTATCTCAGAATCCACTTTACTGCTTCCCAGTGCTGCTCTCCTAGATCTAACATGAATCTGCTCACAGCTCCCACTGCATGGGCAATGTCAGGTCTCATGCATACCATGGCGTACATAAGGCTTCCAATGGCTGAAGCATATGGAACCTTAGCCATGTAGTCTTTCTCTTCATCAGTCTCGGGACACTGCTCCTTAGTCAATTTGAAATAACTAGCTAACGGTGTACTAACGGCCTTAGCACCGCTCATCCCGAATCTCTCAAGCACCCGTCGAATATACTCGGCCTGAGATAGTCGTAGTGTGCCTAAGAGTTTGTCTCTGCTAATCTTCATTCCCAATATCTGCTTCGCTGCGCCTAGGTCATTCATGTCAAACTCACTCGACAGCTGCTTCTTCAGCTTCTTGATCTCTCTCATATCTGAACTGGCTACAAGCATGTCGTCGACATATAGGAGCAGGATGATGTAACTTTTGTCAAACTCTTTGACGAAACAGCAATGATCAGCATTGCACCTGGAGTAACCGTTCCTGTGCATGAATCCATCGAACTTTTTGTACCATTGCCTTGGAGCTTGTTTTAGGCCGTACAAGCTCTTCTTCAATCTGCATACCATCTTCTCTTTTCCCTTCTGAGTAAACCCCTCTGGCTGCTGCATATATATCTCTTCCTCTAGATCACCGTGGAGGAAAGCTGTCTTTACATCTAGCTGCTCGAGATGTAGATCTTCAGCTGCAACAATACTCAGGACTGTTCTGATGGTAGTTAGTTTGACTACTGGAGAGAAGATCTATGTGTAATCAACTCCTTCTCTCTGCTGAAATCCTTTAACCACCAATCTGGCCTTGTATCTCTTGGAACCATCATGTTCCTCTTTGATTCTGTACACCCATTTATTGCTCAAGGCCTTTTTCCCCGTTGGTAGCTTCGCAAGTTCCCATGTCTTGTTGGTGTTCAAGGATTTTATTTCATCTTTCATAGCAAGCTCCCACTTGCTCGCATCATCCACTCGAAGGGCCTCATCATAACTTTCTGGCTCTCCACCGTCACTCAATAATAGGTAGTTAAGATGAGCTCTGGGCTATAGTGATGGATACTTTGGATTGGGCTTGGGGACTCTAGCAGACCGCCTCAACTCTCTAACGGGCGAAACAGTCTCTCCATCTTCATCTGCCCCCTCTGAAGTGGTCTCATCCATCATCTCTTCTTCTTCATCAGAACTAGCTTCGGGATTGCCTCCATCTGAGGCATCATCTGACTCGAAATATGTAGGATCACTCTGCATCGAGCTAGTGGGCTGAACTGCATCACGGTCTTTGTAGAGGACTGATTCGTTAAAGACCACATCCCTGCTTCTGATGATTTTCTTGTTCTGCTCATCCCAGAACTTGTAGCCAAACTCATCGCCGCCATAGCCAACAAAGAAACATTTTAAGGACTTAGGATCGAGTTTGCTTCTAGCATGATCACTCAGATGTACATATGAAACACATCCAAATACTCTCAGGTGAGAAATGTTTACCTGCTTTCCACTCCATACTTCTTCAGGTATTTTGTGCTCCAAAGGCACTGATGGTCCCCGGTTGATCAAGTAGGCAGCTGTGTTGACTGCTTCTGCCCAGAATTGCTTTGGAAAACCTGCTTGTAACCGCATACTTCTGGCTCTCTCAGTCAATGTTCTGTTCATGCGTTCTGCTACGCCATTCTGCTGGGGTGTACCTGGCACTGTCCTCTCTAATCTAATGCCGTTGTCATAACAGAACTTCTTGAACTCTGAGTCTTCATACTCGCCGTCGTTGTCAGAACGAAGCTTCTTGATCTTCAAACCGGTCTCGTTCTCAACCATAGCCTTCCATCTCTTGAAGACTTCAAACACTTCTGATTTGTGTTTCATGAAATAGACCCAAGTCTTCCTCGAGTGATCATCTATGAAGGTCACAAAGTATAACCTTCCGCCGGTGGATGGTACTGATGCTGGACCCCACACGTCTGTGTGAACTAACTCAAGCTTCTCTTCTTTAGGAGTTCTGCCAACCCTTTTGAAGCTTATTCTCTTTTGTTTTCCAAGAATGCAGCTTTCACATAAATCAATATCAGCCGATCTCAAACCTGGTAACTTCCCATTCGCTTGCATAACCTTTAGGCCTTTGCTACTCATGTGACCTAGCCTCTGGTGCCACAAATTTGGGTCTTCACTGCCTTCAGCCACTGCAATGGAGCCTCGTGCATCTATCGTCATGTAGAGAGATCCAGTCTTCGTACCACGGGCAACAACCATGGATCCCTTTGTAACCTTCCATGTATCACATGCAAAGGTTGATACGTATCCCTCTTTCGCCAATTGTCCTATGGAAATCAATTTTTTTCTCAAGCTAGGAACATGTCTTACATCGCTCAGCTTCCATATAGACCCATTGAGCTTGATCTGCACGACTCCTTTGCCAACGATATCACAGGGCTGATCATCACCAAGATAGACTTTTCCTAGGTTTCCTGAAACGTAGTTCTCAAATAAATCTCTATTTGAGGTAGCATGAAACGAAGCTCCTGAATCCAGCACCCACGATTCAGTTTTGCTCTCCAACGAACAGATTAGGGCATCATCTGATTCTCCTGAGGCCACGTTCGCTTCAGTCTTGTTCTCCTTGTCCTTCTTGGGTTCTCGGCACTGATTTTCATAGTGGCCAAACTTGCCACAATTCCAGCAATCGATCTCCTTCTTACCCTTGCGGTTCCTGGACTTTGACCTTCCGTTCCTCGAGTTAGGTCTTCCACAGCTATTTCCTCTGTTTCTGTTTCTGTTTCTTCCTCTGCTCTCAAGATTCAACACCGACCCTGAATTAGAAATCCCTTCCTCTTGCCTTCTAATCTCCTCAGTCATAATCATGTCCACCACCTCTGAAAACTTTAGTTTTGATTTGCCACATGATCCGCTAATCGAGATAACGGCACCCTTCCAACTGTTGGGTAATTGATTAAGTATTAAGAGGGCTTGGATTTCATCGTCAAACTGAATATTGACCGAGTTTAATTGATCAGTGATCTCGTTAAACTCGTTCATGTGTTCCTTGAATTTCTGGCTCTCGGACATCCTCAAATTAAACAACTGTGATCTCGTTAAACTCGTTCATGTGTTCCTTGAATTTCTGGCTCTCGGACATCCTCAAATTAAACAACTTTTTAATGAGATGTACCTTATTCGCCGTAGAGGGCTGCTCATACATACTGGACAACGTCGCCATGAGATCTGCCGTCGTATTCTGATTCTTGATGTTGAACGCTACTGATTTAGACAAGGTCAACCTGATCGCTCCAAGTGCCTTTCGATCCAATAGCTTCTAATCCGCATCTTTTATATCCACCGGCTTCTCTCCCAATGGTAGGTATAAATCATTCTGATAGAGGTAGTCCTCCATCTGCATCTTCCAGAACCCGAAGTTTGTTCCATCAAACTTCTCAATCTTGGATGTTTCCTTCTCAGATCCCATTGTCTCTGACCTCAAATCGCTCGCGCCGAACCTGGTTGCTCTGATACCACTTGTTGAGGATACACAACCCCCCTGATGCGATTTGGAAATAGAGATTTAGGAGAGAAGAGAGAAAATCAAACAATCTCAAACACACAAGATTTACGTGGTTCGCTTCTCTATTTGAAAAACTACGTCCACGGCCGCCACAGGAGAAAAATTCACTATTTTTTCGTCTTAATACATCATGTCCTAATCAACCCTTTTATAGACTTAAGGGTTTAATAAGTAAAAAGGGAAACAGATCAAAACAGGTCAAAATTCGAATCTGGGCCAAAACCCGACTCCGGTCGACCGCTGCACCACATCCGGTCGACCGCGATGCTGTTCGAAATCTGCCTGGCTCTCTGGACTTTTGGCGGTCGACCGCAGCGCCATGCTCGGTCGACCGCGACGAAGACAGAAAGCTGGGTTGCTCTCTGGACTTTGAGCGGTCGACCGCTGCGCCACCTTCGGTCGACCGCGACAAGTTTCTGGCCTGTGCACCCAGCTGTGCACGTAGACGGTCGACCGCCGCGCCCTGCTCGGTCGACCGCGATGCAAAAAAATGTCTCCTTCGTCGTTTTGCTTGAACTTCGCCATCGTCGATCCTGTTCGTCATGTTCCAACTTTGTTCCTCTTCGTTCTGAAGTGTAGGGCATGCCTGATAGTTAGGCTTCACATATCCTAACAATTCTGATATCCAACAATAGTAATGCAGTTAAAATTCAAAATACCTTCCAGTACCGTTACTGTAATTTATTATACGTTCAAAGATAGTACTGTGTCAACAACTATCACATTAACTCATAAAGGGATATTATTTAGAGTATATCAATATAATTCTTAGGAAACTAAGTGTCAGCTAATTGAGTACAATTAAGCCATATTTCTTCGTAATACCCTTCGGTTGACAGCTTGCTTCTGGTTCCTTCTTGATCATAGGACACGACTCTAATGCTTAAAAGTGAAGTTGGTTATAGAAAAAAAAAGAGGTTACCGATCATTACGTACATAATTAGCTCAAAGCAATTATAACTTTGCTTTTAGCTTTTCCTATTGTGTTATGGTGGTCAGGGCTAGAAAGAAAAAAGAAGAAGAGAACAAGATGATTCCTCCCTCCGCATGTTCCGTGATCATGCGTGGTTGTCGAGAGCCAAAGGCCCCTTATTTTTTTTTGTAGTGGCCTTCGAAATTTTTCTACGTTCTAGAAGCCGTATATATATTCTCTTTTCAGCTTTACCTGAACGAATGGTGCTTAATATGGTTGTGTTGTTTGTTTTCTTCTACCTTCGAGCGGATTCATTTTGTGTTTTGAGTTGTGCTGGGACCCCGTGAGGATGAGAAACATGCGTGTGTATATACATATATTCCACATAATCAAAAGTTTTCAATAATATCTTATAATAACAAGTTCCTCTTATCAAAATGAATATCTGAGGAAAGAGGAAATTACAGAGCCGAACCTTTCTATCTCAGCACATAAAACGCATCGCGTCAACTTCAGAAATGCGACAGAAGTAAAAAGGGGTGGAACAGATTGATGAGATACAATGCGCCTCACCCGTACCCATATAATACAAGATTTACTTTGGATTAAAACTGAAAATTTTTGTTGCCTTCACAGAACACATGTAGGAAGCCCATTCCTTCCCATATACAATCACAAAAGGCCTTTTTATGTGGCTTTTGTTAGGCACATGAGTTACAGAGAACCGAGGAGGATTTGAAACCCTTGCAACACGAAGGTTGCGGAAACTGAGCAGGACCTGAAGCCCTAGCAACACAGATCACAATGCATCCCAGAACCAACTTTCATCAACCCTTTCATAAACTTAGAAAAATCCCCGTGCCCACCTTACCGGTGTATACTTATACCTTCATTCCCTTTTTTTTTAAAGTGACTAAAATGTCTAATGGTGGATATTCAATTCATACTCTATATTCACTATGCCCATATTGCAAGAGATGACATCGATAAAGCCCCAAGGAAGAGAGCCAAATATGAGGCCACCTGAAGCCTAACATTGCAGCTCATCCTTCTACTAAGGAAATCTGCAGCTATTAGGTCAACCAGAGCCATATAAATTAGGATCCCTGCTGATATAGAGTCTAGTATCCCCTCAATTACCAGTGCTCTTGGGCTGTGTGCGTTATATGCAGACGATATCGCATGCCTCCAAAATGCAAATTCCCTGCTGTGTCTTATTGCCAAATAAGCGCATGCCATTAGTGTTGCTGATAGGTTCTTGAACTGTGCCTGCATTTGATCAAAGAATGGTGTGGTTGATCTCATAAGATTCATTTAGTTAAAGGTTACTCACACGTAGATATGCTAAAGTTTACTCCATATTTAACCTGAGAGATGCATCCTCCCAGTGCGAAGCCTTCGAAAAACTGGTGGAAGGAGAGAGCAGCAATGAGAGGCCGGATGGTACATGGGCTCTGTGATACACCCAGGGAGAGTCCGATGATAACTGAATGTGATACAATTCCAAGCTCCAGGATCTGTGAAGTGTAAATAAGTTCTACCAGTCAGAAGGTAAATAATCAAATTTCACAACTTTTTTTCCCTTCATACTTAAGGCTAGTAACTGGAAAGAAACATTAAAAAAAAATCGAGATTAGAGTATGTTAGCTTGACCTGGTCTAAGATGACCAAATCAACGATTCTCAGTAGAGAGAATTGTGGATCGTTGAAAAAAATTGGGTTTGTTGAGAGAAATTCTCTCAGGAGCGGTTATGAGGGGGGTGGAGATAATGGGTTCTGGCTCCTATATAAAGAGGTGTAATCTCCTTGAGAAATACACAGCAACAACAAAAAGAAAATCAAGCCCTCTTACCCATTACCGGAGCCCCCCTCAACGAAATCTATTCTTTTTCTCTTCTTCTCTATGATCAAACACTGGTATCAGAGCACGCTTCGATCCTCAACTCCCTGAGCGTCGCCATCTCGAGCTCTGCGTTCGAACGTCGACGACAACTGCTTCGCTCAACGGCTGCCTCGACGATCGACGACGACTCTGTTGTGATTCTACTGCTTCGATCGACGACGAAGACGACTCGACGACTCCGCTGCGATCGACGACCACGACAACGACTCCGTCGCGATCAACGATGGTGACGACGAGCCTGCAGCAACTGAAGTAGATCGGAGGCCAGAGGTGATCGAAGGTGAAGTTGGAGCTCGAGAAAGTGGAGATCGGAGGCCATTGGAAGCTTGAGATCAAGGTGAAGACGAAAATTTTTTAGAGAGACCAGATCTGGGTTGATTTTTGAGATAGAAAAGAAATTTATTTTTTGGGGAAGAAGAGGGAATAATAAAAGGAAATTGACAGTGAGATCAAGCTTATAGCGGAGTGGGATTGTAAAGTTGTTGGACTTGGGCCTTTCTTGTTGGGTCTGTATTGGGTTGTTTAAAAAAAAAAAAAAGGCTTGCTGTTGGTTCGATATCAGTGAGCGTGAGGAGAAAATCAAGGTTGCTATTGGGTTTGATTATTCACATAGTGGATCTTCTTCAAAATCTAGTCAGAAACGGCGCCGAATCTTCGACAAGTGCTGATCCAATCAACACCGTTGAGTGACAATCTCGCTCGAATTGGAACTTCTTTCATCAACTCGGAACAATCAGGTTCTTTTTATTTATTTATTTATTTATTATCTAATTTATTTTATTTTAGTATAATTGTCAAAATATCAACCTTACACATATTTTAAAATTAATTTAGTTTTAGTTCTTTACCGAATGGCTAGTAAACTCGTTCTATCAGAACTAGGCAAAATTGATAAATTTAATGGCAGTAATTATGATATGTGGCATAGAAAAATAGGATATGCTCTTATTCATGACAACATTGATGATATAATCGAAACCACTGCTCCAACCCTTACTGATAAATCTACACCTGAAGAAAAGAAAGGGTTTGAACAGTGGAAGTCGAAAGATAAAAAGGCGAAAAGTCTTATGCTCATGTTCATGGAAGATAACTTAATCAAAGTTTTTGAAACTTATAAGACTTCCATGGACATGTGGAATGCAATAAAAGAAAAATACGACACTGCTTCTGAAGTTAACATCCAACTACTCTTGCATAAGTATAATTCTTGTCGTATGCAAGAGGGAGACAATGTCGTAGAGCATATAAATAAAATGATTGTCATGGCTAAGGACTTATCCACTGCTGGGACCGAAATCCCGGAAAGAATGCAAGTGGCAACCATTTTGAATAGTCTTCCCCCTTCACTTGCTGTGGCTGCCACCCCATTAAGAATGAATCCTGCCATTAAGTCTGTCACTGATCTTCCTATGCACCTAGCGATAGAACAGGACCTAATAGCCAGTAGGAAGGAACCAGAACTGAATATGATGCAGCAAGAGCTGAATTATGTCCGCCAGAGGCATAATGCTGGAAGCTATAAAAACCCTGGTTCTAGTAAACCACAACCACAAGGACAGAAATCGCAGCAGTTTAAGAGAAAGAAAGTACCCCGCGGAGCCTGCTACAATTGTGAAAAGTTCGGGCATTTCAAACCCAATTGCCCACAAGGTGAAAAGCAAGAGAATAAGGGAGGCTATAAGCATCCAGAACAAGGGGGTACTAGCAAAAGAGAATTCATCGGTGTGACGGAATGTAATGCTGTAATGACGGATATCAGTGGTTGGTGGATCGACTTCGGTGCGACTAGGCATATCGCAAAGGACAAGAATGGAGTCGTAGAATTCACCGAGCTGAAGAAAGAAGAACAGAGAATCTATATGGGAAATAATACCTATCTCGATGTAGAAGGTATTGGTTCGTATAGATTGGATCTTGAGGACAGCATTCTTGTCCTCAAAGATGTGTTCTATGCGCCAGGAATTCGACGCAATCTGATCTCTGTTCCCAGCTTGATGAAGAAAGGACTGGAAGTGAGGTTCTATAGTAACAGGGTTTCTATAGGCAAGAATAATAAAGTGTATGCTATGGGTAAATATGTGCCCGAGCATGAATTATGCATTCTTCCAGTAGTTTATAATAATTCTGATAATAAAATTTCGAATTTGAACTACTTGTCCTGTTATATTTCTGAATCTGAATTGTGGCATTTTAGACTAGGACATGCTAGTATTTCAAAAATAAAAGAAATTATCAGAATGAACTTACTTCCTGCACTATCTAATGTTCAATTGCCACCATATGAACATTGTTTAACTGGTAAAATAACTAGAAAACCTTTTGTTGGCGGACATAAAGCCAATGAACTTTTAGGGTTGATACACTCGGATATTTGTGGTCACCTAAGTGTCAAAACTCATAGTAATAAAGAATATTTTATTACTTTTATAGATGATTATTCCAAATTTACACACGTCTATCTTATATCCAAAAAATTAGAAGCTTTTGATTGCTTTAAGAGATATAAGACAGAAGTTGAAAACCAACTTGGATTGAAAATCAAAATTCTGAGAACTGATAGAGGTGGAGAATATAATTCTAAAGAATTTGAAAGTTATTGTATTCAGCATGGAATTAAAAGGCATACAACAATACCGTATACGCCACAACAGAATGGTGTTGCTGAAAGAAAGAACAGAACATTATTAAATGTAGTTAGATGCATGTTGTCCCATTCTGGTCTCTCTAAAAACTTTTGGGGAGAAGCATTGTTAACTGCAAACTACATTTTAAATAGAATTCCCACCAAATCAGTTATATCTACACCTTATGAATTATGGAATGGGAGGAAACCTAATTTGAGTCATCTCAGGAAGTAGGGATCTATAGCCCATGTTCTCATTCCATGTCAACTTAGAGATAAGTTGGATTTTAAAACAATAAAGTGTAGATTCATAGGGTATTCAGAAAAGTCAAAAGGTTATAAGTTCTACAATAAAGAAAAAGGAGTCATTGAAAGCAGAGATGCTACATTTCTAGAGAATCTAGAGGAAGAGGAACAAGTTCAAGAGGAAACAGAACCTCTAACTGTAATAGATGATGATTATTACAGTGTTCTCACTAATGACCCTGATATTGTGAATGAACCTAACCTTGAAAATGATGAAATACCTATGGAAAATAATATACCTAATCAACCAGTTGTAGGTAACAAAAGGCCAAGAACACAACCTTCATGGATGGATGATTACTATTTGTATTCATGTGAGTCATCATGTTTCTCGGTAGATACAAATATAGAAGAACAAGATCCCTTAACCTTTTCTGATGCGATGAAATCGCATGAATCAGCTTCATGGCTAGAATCTATGAGAGAAGAACTTGATTCTATAGAAAAGAATAAGGTGTGGGAGTTATGTGATCTACCAGAAAATAGAAAAGCCATAGGATGCAAATGGGTGCTCAAAAAGAAATATCGTGTTGATGGATCTATTGATAAATTCAAAGCACGGTTAGTTGCCAAAGGTTATAACCAGAAGGCAGGAATAGATTTTCAGGAGACGTATTCTCCTGTAGCTAAATTTACATCCATTAAAATTATTTTGGCTATTGTTGCATATCTTGATTTGGAGTTGTTCCAAATGGATGTTAAAACTGCATTCCTTAACGAAGAGTTGAAGGAAACAATATATATACAACCTGAAGGTTTTCAGGTGAAAGAACATGAACATAAAGTTTACAAATTAATAAAATCTCTATATGGTTTAAAACAGTCTTCTAGACAATGGTATCTTAAATTTCATAATGCAGTCACTAAACTTGGTTTTATTTAAAATAAATTAGATAATTGTGTATATGTCTTGAAAAGTGGGAGCAAGTTTACTATATTATCCTTATATGTGGATGATATATTGCTCGCTGGAAATGACATAGAAATGTTGAATAAAATCAAGGCAGATCTCAGCGAAAAGTTTGAGATGAAAGACATGAAAGATGCATCATATATTCTTGGAATTCAAATAATTCGAGATAGAAAGTCTAGAATGCTAAGTTTAAACCAAGAAAAATATTTAAGATCAGTTCTTAAAAGGTTTGGAATGGAGAATTCCAATCCGGCACCAACTCCGTTGGTTATGGGAAAGAGATTATGTAAAGAGCAAAGCCCTGGAGAGGGGCAGAAGCCATTAGATGTTCCTTATGCTCAAGCAATTAGAAGCTTGATGTATGCAATGTTGTGCACCAGACCTGATATAGCTTATGCTATGAGTCTAGTCAGTAGATATCAAAGTAATCCAGGACCAGCACATTGGGAAGTTGTTAAAAGGATTATGAAGTATATCAGAGGTACATTGACTCATAGATTAGTTTATCAAGCTGATTCGCTTGAACTCCTCGGTTATTCCGATGCTGATTTCGGAGGTGATAAAGATGATGGAAAGTCCACTTCGGGACACTTATTTATCTTTGGAGGAGGAGCTGTTTCTTGGAGTAGCAAGAAACAAGGGTGTGTTGCTAGATATACGCAAGAAGCTGAATATATAGCTTGCAGTATGGCAACTACACATGCTGTCTGGATAAGACGGTTTTTGATTGATCTTGATCTCAATTTGTTAGAAGGACCTATTGATATTTATTGTGATAATCAAGCAGCAATTAGCTTAATCAATAGTGGTGCAAATAGCTCTAAAGGAAAACATATTGAGATCCAGTATCACTATATTCGAGATATTATAGAAAAGGGAGAAGTCAAAGTGACTTATATCCCTACTACAGATATGATTGCTGATCCTTTGATAAAAGGAATACCAGCAGAATCTTTTATCAAACATGTAAGTTTGATGGGACTTAGGAATAAATAAGTCCAAGTAAAATTTCATGAATAATGAAATAAGAGTTACTCTCTACGGATAGTGGGAGTAATGGTAAGCAGAAACATCTGATCTCACGGATAGTGGGAGGCATATCACTTGGTTGATTTGGTCAAGTGGGAGATGTTAGCTTGACCTGGTCTAAGATGACCAAATCAACGATTCTCAGTAGAGAGAATTGTGGATCGTTGAGAAAAATTGGGTTTGTTGAGAGAAATTCTCTCAGGAGCGGTTATGAGGGGGTGGAGATAATGGGCTCTGCCTCCTATATAAAGAGGTGTAATCTCCTTGAGAAATACACAGCAACAACAAAAAGAAAATCAAGCCCTCTTACCCATTACCGGAGCCCCCCTCAACGAAATCTATTCTTTTTCTCTTCTTCTCTGTGATCAAACAGAGTAACCCCAACCCTAAATTAGAGATCATTTTAAATTCTACATCTAATTCATTGGATGTTTCCGTATAGTTTAAGGTATTAGTTATTGAAAGAAACTGGTTTCTATTGATCCCAGTTAAAATGAAACTCAAGATTATATTGTAAGAGGCATTGGAATGAGATATAGGGAATGTAATCCTGCCTCCATCCAACCAACTTATCTAAAAAACTTTGTTACCTATCAAGAGGACAAAGTGGGAGTTGGTAACTTTATTCATGAAGTTAGGTGATACGCACAAAGTTAAACCTGTAACCTTCCCACTAAGCAGCTACAGCATAAAGCAAGCTGCAGCCACGACCATGTTTTGTTTGTGATAGAAAATATGTAAGTAGAACAGAGCCAAAATTGGACCAGAGACCACTGCCTAACATTGGAATTAATCCATTTGAAATGACATGTTACTATTTGTATGTACTCCTCCCTTTCTCTAAAGTCTTGGTTACCCCCAAAATGCCTCATTCATAATTGATGTTCCTGTTAGTGCTTTCAGAGCTAAACTTGAAAGAGGCTCTGAAAAAGGTCTGAAAAGATGGACGAAGAAATTGCAGTGATGTGTATAATTTGGTAGTTATCATATATAGTTTCTTGAAGCTTCCAAAGGTACCCTACTTGTACAAGCTAGAAATATGAGGTCACACAGTTAAGGTCCTTAGCTAATATTTCAATGCTAAATATTATATACCGCTGGTTTTTGGGCATGAATTCATTATAGAGATCCATGAAAGATCTATAGAAGAATTGTAGTTTCATGGCTATTTTTAAATTACTAGATTGCTGTTATGTACAAATAAATTGTTCCAATAGTTTTTGGGGTAGCATTACCATACTAGGGGATCTAGATAACTGATCAACAGAGGACTCTAACCAAACAATTAAAGTTGCAACTTCTATGAATTGCGCCTCCACCAAGAATTAACCAAATGTTTCAAAACTTGGATTAGTGTGAAATCCATCCAAACAATTACTTTGTCCCATTTATATTAGTTGGAGCTGATCATAACTCAAAATAGTTTGTATTTTAAACTTCAACCAACTAAATGCACCTTACTGAAAAGTTTGAAAATAGTTTGTATTTCAAAATAGTTTGTATTTCAAACTTCAAACAACAAAGTGCACCTCACTGCCTAATGCAAAATCTATGAAGACGATTTTATTCTGCATCCACTGGTAAATCAAAAGGAAAGAAATTTACAAGCTCTTCATTACCCACCTCCTCCCAAATTGGTCCATTTAAGGGTACATCTAGAGAGAAAAAGAAAGAAAGAAAAGTGACCTCTCATCACAAGAAACCTATGACTGGTACAGAAAGAACCGTTTGAAACTGCCTCATGCTAGAAAGCCTTTCAATAGGAGGGGCAAGAAGGTGCAGTTTTTAGATGTTACACATGCACATGTGATGAAGCAAGGTAGGCTTTTACCTTTGAGCTTCATAAAATAGTATATTCCAAAATTCCAAACTAAATTTTTGCAAGTGTTGCAAGAATATAAATGATTTGATTCTAAAGAGTATTAGCTACAAGAGTCCATATATGCACAGAAGTTTACTTGTTCTGTATAGTATTACTCTCCTATGCCCTGTTTGATAAGTTTATTGTGGTCTGTAATACCACTAGGCATCACTCAGGGGGGGTTAGTCATCTAGAACTTAAAACTGGAACTGGGATAATTTGTGGGATAAATTTTTAAGGTGTTAGTCACATAGAATTAGGAAATGGGATATTTTTTTATAGTGTTAGTCAAGTAGAACTTTTGTAGAACTAGAACTGTATTATTGTTTTGGTGCGTTAGTCAAGTAGAATTCTACTAGAATTAGAATTGGGATAATTGGTCATAATTATCCCACAAATTATACTACCTATATATATAACCATAAGTTCTCCTCTCTCAAACTATCCCACACATTGGAAAGAATACAATTGGGAAAAAAAAGTAAAACCCCACCTCCCTCCCTCTTGGTTAGTTTCTCCGCCTAGAAAATTTTTCTGCCATGAAGTCAATCATCCGTTCATTTTTCTGTCTTTACTTTGTTTTTGTGATAATTAGATTTTTTATTATTATTTTCAAGATATATTACTTTATTGATACCTTTTTGACGTTAAATTACTTTATTATTATTTGTTTGATCTAAGTTTTCTCTCCACAACAATGGTTTAGGTTAAGAATATAGTGTTGGTGGGTTAGTGCTAAAGATATGAGGGCTATTTATGTTTTTTTTATAAGTTAGAAAGCAACTTTGCGATCACATTGATGATTAGATGTTGAATGGTTAATGGTGATATCTATTATCTATTATTATTAAATCGGCTCAGTAAATTGATTGAGATATTTATAGTTCACCTGTCAATCATCTGTTTAGCAGCCATGAATGATTCCTGTGTACATTTCATTTATTTGCTGATTTGGTTTCAGCGATCATGATGAGATTGGTCCAAAGGGTTAATGGCTGAAAAATGCTTATTTTTCTTTCTTTATGATGTTATGAGATTTGAACTTCAGCATTTATAATCCTCCACTAGAAGCTCCACGAAATGTTGCTGATGCAGACGATGACTCCGATAAAGAAGACGAGATACATACTCAACGAGCAGCTGTAGGAGCTTGGAGAAATTCTATGGCAGATGCCATGTGGGATGATAGAAGCTATTACCCCCACCAAATTATTCTACCAAATTATGCAACTGCATAATATTATCCATCATTATCCCACCAAATTATCCTACCAAATTATCCCACTTTAAGAATTACCCATCATTGTTCCACTAAATTATCTCAGTATCAAAATATTATCCCACTTTACCAATTATCTCAGTTCTACTTAAAAAGTTCTAGGTGACTAACCCCCCCCCCTACTGAATAAAGCATTGTTATAATAATGCAAAATATTAAAGAGTTGTATTGATACATTGACTTAGAAGTTCACAAGGAGCCATCTTGGCTAAAAGAAGAAATCAAAAGCATCAAAGGGTACCAACTGTTATGATAAGGTCTTACATTTCCTTGGAAACATCATGAACTAATCCAATCTCAAAAAGAGCAATATCATTTTGTAAGACATTATAAGATGAGCAAATTAGCAAAATGTTCTTTATTTTGACCCAAAACTATGGGACCAATTATGGGACAAGTGATGTATTTACTTGGTGAGCCATTGGTGTTGGATAGTATCCTAATAAAATATGCAAAGAAGACAATGTCTTGTTCCATACATGGCCCCGTCCATGCATTTTGGATCCAATAAGTGCTCCATATACCTTGTAAAGATATGTAATGCTTCTTGTGAATATGGCAGTATAGAACTTACAGAATGATAAATAATTACTTTTATAAGGAATATGACTACACTTTCCACGTAAGGTTGACGAGTGCAATTGCAGACTTATCCAACAACATGTTTAGATGATTAACGAAAAATAATACATACATATCCTTATTCCTTATTCTAAGTTAATACCACCAGTTGCAATGGTATCATCCTTGGTGTATCAGACCGACGGCAACAGTTTTGTTTCAGAAAGGGATGATTCAAGAACAAGCATACAAGGAACTTCAGTGGTTGCAATTAGCCACCAAACACCATAAAGTTTGACTTATTCTAGTAGAACTTGCCTTCCAGAACAATGCGACAAATTTCTTCTTTAAGCTCCTCCATTTCCACCTAATATTACCCACTTGCAACAAGATGTATTTCTTTAATCATTCAAGAATTTCTTCAAAAAAAATTCCATTTTTCTTTCAAAAATCAAGAATTTCTTTAAATATTTTTCCATCTCTCTTTCAAATGAACCAATGCACCAACTTATAGACATTTCTTTATTCATTCAAGAATTTCTTTAAATAGTTCCCATTTCTCTTTCAAATGATATAATGCAGCACCACCTTTTAAACATTTCTAAAGGGCGCCTAACTGTTTTACACATCTTGAAACAAGGTGCTAATAGCCAAAAGTTTCACCCCATAAAATACTGTATTTAATTTATATTCATAAGGATAATTCTAAAAACTATATTCGACAAGTCCACTATACCAATCCAATTGAGCTTAAAAATTCAAACAATGAGCCAAACCTATAGCAGATTAGACAATAACACTAAAGTTAAAAGTCAGTAGAATCAAACAAAGCACATTCATATAAAAATTCACAATAATGCATATTGACACTTTTAACCCAATTAACAAAGAGAAAACTGATGATACCTGTGACACAACAACATGCCTCACATGCGACGACACATGCCCATCATCCTCGTGTACATGTCCATGCCCATCATGGGCACGCCCTTGGCACGCCCTCACATCTCCATGTGCATGGCTATGCCTATGTGCAGCAGCATGCGCATGCATCCCAACAATATGCATCTTCCCACCATCATCAACATCATCCCCATCTCTCCTCCCAATCTCAACATCATCCGTCACCGGGACCACCGTGATCCCATTCTGATCCTCAACCACGGTCGGTCGCCGCAACCGCCGCCGCCGCCTCCCGCTTAACCCCAATCTCCTCCTCCCTATGCTTCTTCTCATAAAACTGCGTCGCCACAAAATCAACAACAAGCGTCAACAGCGCAGCAATCATCGCCACAAACCCCGAAAATGGAAACTTTTTCCAAGGAAATTTCGGCAAGCAAGAATTCGTCAACGCCGACTGGGCATCATGCAACATGTGAACAAATCCAGTAGCAAGAATCACTCCCGCGGCAAAAGCCTTGGCAAAGAAGAACAACCCGCCATCGGTTCTTACCAGCCTCCGCTTCCTTCCGACGAGCGGGATCGCTACTCCGATAACGCCGGCGATCAGGATCGCGGCGATCGCCACCATCTTCATCTTCAAGGCCACCGCGTCGTCTCGGCACTCGTCGGCGATGTCACCGGAGCAGGACTCGGCCGACATGGACGCCGATAGGATGTGATCCATGGTAGCCCTAGAGCTGGGGAGAGCGATAACTGGATTGATATCGAGATCCTGCAAAGAATTGAGAGGCCAAGCGAGAGGTTGGGAGAGTGAATTTACTTGTATTTGCTGGGAATTAGGGTTTGCTGCTTACCTCGAGAAGAGACATTTGGGGGATTTAACGATCGGAGCTTTTTCCTTTTCGGTAGGTGGAGATGATGATGAAGATGATGAAGAAAGAGATGAGCTTTTAAGATCGGCGGTGGTGGTTTTCATCGGGTTTCGTTCTCTTCGGATGGACTAGTTCGGAGTGGATGTCGACATTTTTATTCATCCATTTTCCTCGATGAGGGAGGAAGCGGGAGTTTCTTGTGGGGCCGGGCTCCGTGCCACGTCGGAAAAGGGCGTGGGCTGGTCACGTTGTGAGATATGTTCGGGTGTGTTTTGAGATCGGACGGCTGTTAATATGACACTTGGGCCTTTGACAGGTTGATGGTGTGGTAAGCATGTCGACATGATGGCGAGCAGCGCGCGCAGCTGTAGAGATCGCGAGGCTCATGCAGGCTTCGTATCAGACTCGAAACCGCGCCAATGTTCTATGGTGTTCTACGTGTAAATCAATTTTCTATTTTTATCTAATGTTTTTTTAGTTATAAAAACCTCTAGATATGGTTACTATTACAACGTCATACTTTACTTAAGAGTGAAAATGAACCAATTAATTAACAAATTGTTCGAATAACTATTCGATCATATTCGATTCAGTAGTTCATTATTTACCACTAAACAAATATTTCTTAGTATTCGAGTTTACTAACAAATAGAATTTAACCATATGTGTATATTTGATTCGTTTGTCTATTTTAAATATTCATTTAAAATTTGATCACAGCTTATTATTTGTATTATTACACATATAATGTCATATTTTTAACTCATTTATCATTTCTACTTAAGTTTTATATACTGATTTTAAGACTTAAATAATCTTAAATATGTTTTCAAATTAAAATTTTGATTTAAATATATATACATCATATACTTTAAAGGAATAGTTTTTATTTATGAATTTTAATATTATTTTAAAATTTAATTGTTTAGCAGAATAAATATACTTTGATATTCGATAAGTATTCGTGAATATTCATGAATATTTATCAAATATCAAGTATTCGAGTTCGAATTCGAGAAACTAGATGTATGAATATTAGAGTCTGTATTTAAATTCAGTAATTTTAAACAAATACAAATACGAACACTTTAGTATTCGATTCGATCGTTTATCACCCTAGTCATACTTCATAATTACTGTTCAGTTGGTTTATCAAAAAAACATTAAATCTATTTCATGACTTGTAAGTTAATTTCAGATGTTTAAAAGCTAAAATGGATTTTATGAAAAAGTTAAAGTTGTTAGACCCTAGAGGGGGGGTGATTAGGGTCTTATGCTAATCTAATCCGATTAAATGTCAATTAAAAACTAATTAACAAGTTATCCTAGCAAGTATGAAAAATCACAAGATATATGAGCTAGGATAAGCAATGTAAACAATGAGATATATCCTATATGATAAAATATATGCAAGGATATATAAACAACACAAGGGTAAATAATCTAAACAAGATAGTGGATGATATAGATAATGAGCTAATGACAATGGCGATATAAGATATGAACATAAATATGAATGAACGCCAAAGCACACTCAAACAAGCAATATGATCACGGAGTTCGGACCTTCCGTCCTACGTCTCCGCTCCCCACTCCCGGGGAGAAATCCACTAACACAATCCGGTTTGGAAGCCGGAACTTCTTCTACACACTCGGTTTTCTAGCTAACCGAAAACTCTACAACTCACACTCTTGCAATCACACTCTACACCCACTAAGTGTTGGACCTAGCCGTGTCTCCCTCAAGTGCTCGGTTACAACCTCTCCCTAGGCACGTCAACCGACGCCACTCCTCTTGGGACGATCCCCGACTCTCACCACACACTCCTCACTCGGTGTACAAGTGTATTACAAAGTGATTCTCACAATAAGCACAAATATGACAAATGATTGTTCTCAAAACAAGGTGAGAACTCAATTAAGCTCACTCTCAATGTCACAAACCCACAACCCTAAATTATACTATGAATGTAAATACAATAAGCTCAAAAGGTTGTGTGTGAACAAAGAGATATAAATCAAAACTAAACTCAATGTAGTTCTAGCTTAATAACAATGATAATCAAATATATAAAAAAGCTAGAAATAGAGTTTAGAAAACTTCTCAATATATCAAGAGTTGGAGGGAGAATAGTTGAATGCCCAAACACCAATAGATGATCTCCTCAAGCTCTTGTAGAATTGAATCACAAAAACAAACTCTCAATTTGCTTAAAAGCTTTTTAAACACACTTAAACCAAACTAAAACCCTTGTTAAAAACTTTATTAAACTTGATTAAAAAACTCTCTTAACTACTTTGAAAAGACATCAGCAATGGGGTATATATACCCACTCAAAGCTCAGCCAAAAACACCCAAAACAAAAGACCAAAAGACCCAGCCAACGGTACAAAAACTAGCCGTTGGAAACAGTAAAAGCCATCGTCGGTCGACCGGAAATTCTGTCGGTCGACCGATTTGAGCTCTCGGTCGACCGGACCATGTATATAAACATGTAAATGAACATGTTACAAAAAGAATTTTCCAAATTGCATTTCCCATTTGTGAAAAATCATCATTTTGCAAAATAGTTCAAAACACGAAAATGTAAACATGTGAAATTTGATATTTTAGCTAAACCATGTTTTGAAACTTTGCACAATGATTATATAGACTTAATAAAATATGGATATGATTATTGTTAAGTCCAAAAACTAAGAAAACCATATTTTCACAAAATTGCATATTCTATGCAATATATACAAAACACTAAATATGATTTCATTAAATATAAGCTTGTTAAAGACGAAATCATATATAGGCATATAAACATGAAACAAAATAGTATTTTCTAATTCTATTCATTTGTTTCATATATAAACTCGAAACCTATTAAACCAAAAAATATATATGTATATATATAACTGTATATATACAAAATCAAAACCAAAGCGTGTATGTGTATATATGATTGAGCTTAAAGTACTAACACGCATAATATAAAACCTAAAACTACATTACCCAAGCAATCTTGATCTTCAATTAAGCTTGACTTGGTACACGTTGCGGATGAAGCTAAACTTGGATCTTGAACTAGAATTGCATGGCTTCACCGACATTCCGCCAACCTCCATTGGATATCATCGTTGAAGCTCTATTCCATCCATCCTCCAACTACGTTGTTTGTCTACAATAAATACGAAAACACAAATACTAGACAAACAACATTAGTGGTAAATTGTTTGTTAAACATCATCAAAACAAGAATGCCAACAAAAGTAACAGATCTTTTTTACGGGTCTTTTATATAAATCATTATAACTATCAAACATAGAAAATATAAACTTTTTTTAGTATTTTGTAGGCTCATACAATAAGCATGGAGTACAATTTTACCTTTTCACGGAAGTAATTATGAAGTAGTTGAAGTAAAAGAAGTAGAGCTGCTTCTGCTACTTCCAAGCAAAAAAGGTGTGTTTGGTTCTCTGAAAAATTTACTTCCAATACTTCCTTAAACGTTTATGTGATGCCTACATGTCATCAATCCAAAATATTTTTTCAATCCTCAATACTCAGAAGTAGTTCAAAAGTAGTTAAAATGCATATTAATTAGGAAATAAATAATTTTTTAAAATATTTTATTTATTACTTACTTCTAACAATTTTTCATTGATAAAATTACTCTTAATTTTAACAATTATTTTATAGTAATTTGTGATGGTCGTCGACCAGCTTTTCTTTAGAATGAAGAGAACAATTTGTCTATTAATTCATTGTCTAAATACCACGTTAATGTTACGATCAAAGGAGCAAGTGAGGAGGAAAATTAGAGATTCATAAGAATTTGTGGTCATCCGGAGTCTCATCGTAGGCGAGAGGTAAACAACTATTTTGAAGCAATGTGGTTGAAGGATTCTTCTTGCTCTCAAGTGGCGATGGGTCATAGCGACATGAAACTGGTTGTAACGTGCTAGCTAGATCAAATTAAAGAGCATGGTGTGGTTTTAAAATTGTGGAAGCAACATGTGTTAATTATTTCCTAGTAATATTTCCAAATGTTATCCAAACAAAAAATAAATAAATAAAGAAAAAGAAATTCTACTTTTATTATTTCTAAAAATATATGAAACAAACAAAAAAATATTATTTTCATTACTTCCTACTTTATAGTTTTAAAAGTTACTTCTATAACATATTTTTTACTTTCAATACTTCTATTATCCAAACGGGTCCTTAATTTGAAAAATAACGATTGTCACGCGCTAATTACGTCCAGAAGTGGATTATAATCAAAGTGTAGGCCCATGGTATGACAAAACAAGGTGTAGGGCCATGGGACTGTCTATTTCATGATGGGCTTACCAAGGTTTGAATTTGACCATCTCAACCCAAAAAAATCTGTCAAATGGAACTGACGGTGGGCTTCAGTTTGGTGATGACTGACTCCGGACAGATGTCAGTGGCATGAACAAGAGTGAAGAAAACGCACTCTACGTTAAACTAAATATAATTTTATATGGATAACGAAAATGCACCAAAGTTAAATGTTAATATAAGTAAAGAAGCGAATTATCGGTTAATTATTGTTCGCTTGTGAAAATTTTGGTATGAAGCAAAGAGGAATGATTTTAAGATGAATAAATTTTTTTCCTAGAGCTTATGTCTAGATTTATTCAGATCAATAAGAGGAAAAAAAAAAATCTCGTGATGCAAGAACTATCTTAGCAAAGTATAATTTCCCAAATTAAAGCTTACATAATGTGTGCAACGTGACTCTCGGAGGGGAAATTGATGGAATAATTATAAAATAGTAAATTTGGTTAATTATTCATTCAAATCAATTCGAGAGATCGATTAGGCCGTAAACCAATAATTTTTAGTATTCATCACATTCCCTTTAAAAACATGAGTTCAGAGAAAAAATTCGAGACAAAAATACCCTTGGAATTTAAATACTAATCCATTAAGTTAGAGCTCGTTGATAAATTTATGAATTCTTATTGGATATACATAGTACGAAGATAAGAATATAGTTTAAATTGAAATGTAAACATGAATGAAAACAAACGTGATAGAATTATAAAAAATATATGCACTTGTAATTGATAATATCTATTGAGTATGATATGTGGCTGTTGTAGTATCTGCAAAATCCACCAAACAAATTAAAGAGACAAAATTAT